CCTCCTTAATACCCATCACCGGGCTAACCCATCCCCCCACCCCCTTCCCTCAGTTTGTTTCTCAGAGTCCATCGTCTCTCATGGTTCGTGTCCCCTTCCGATTTCCCCCCTTCATTTTTCCCTTCCTGCTATCTTCTTCTTTTTTTAACATATAATGTACTATTTGTTTCAGAGGTACAGTTCTGTGATTCAACAGTCTTACACACTTCACAGCACTCACCATAGCACATACCCTCCCCATTGTCCATCACCCAGCCACCTCATCCCTCCCACCCCCACCACTCCAGCAACCCTCAGTTTGTTTCCTGAGATTAAGAATTCCTCATATCAGTGAGATCATATGATACATGTCTTTCTCTGACTGACTTATTTCAAGATTGTATGCCTTCTCTCATTCTTACACAATTGAGCTAGCTGCTGATATCTACATACTAGGCAGATGCTTGCACTTGCCATCTGCAGAGGCTTTTATGCATCACTTCAGGATGTATACAGAGTGCCAGGGGCATTTGTCAGCCAGTTGAGGGGGTTGGGGGCACCTGCAGATAAGGAGTCCCATGGAGTTCATGGGTGAGTCTCTTAATAGAGTCCACAAACCAGCTAGTAGGATCTGTAGCTGATTTTTGAGATCCATATGGTGGCTCCTGTGAATGCCCACTCCCCTTCTCTGTTTCCAGATCCCCCCAAACTATTTAGCCGTGCCAATCACCTCAGTGACCTGGGTGGGGTGAAACAGAAGTTGGTTTCTTGGGCAATGTCTCACAAGGCTGGGGAAACAGGGTGCTCATTCCACTTTCACTTTCCCCCATGGGAGAAATCACAGGCTGAGATGATCTCTCCTGGCACTGAACTATGCTACTCTTGGGGAAGGGTGACATAGGTAAAGTGAAGCTGTTTTTCTTACCCTCTTCAATGCATCTATTTATGGATAATTTGCTCCAGTGAGGTGCTGGAATCTTTTCACTGGACTCTTGGTTTCCCACAGAGGTATTCCCATCCATAATTGTTATCAAAGTTGATGTTTGTGTTGGGGGGTATAAGGACTGGAATCTCTTTTTCTGCCATCTTGCTGACATCACCTACCCAGTGCCTCATCAGATTTATATCATTCTTTCTTTCCAGAAAATCCACTGATGACACAATGAAACCAAAGGTGGGTAAGACTTACAAATAGACTGTTTCTTTGGGGGTGCCTGGTTCCTGAGGAAAATGGAGAAGAAGGGACTGCAGCCAGGAGGCAGAAAGCTGCCTAGTAAGGACCATATCTTGGAGGACTTTGGGACTGTTGTTCAGGGTACTCTTAACCAACTGGTGGATCACAGTCTACCAAGATTAGGTAATACTTTCAATGCTACTACTGCACTAGATAACTCCAGGGGCAGGCAGCCTATGCGGGTATTTATAAGGGTAAAATATGAGTCTGTTTATACCTGTCCAGCTAAGTCAAGAGATGACAAGAGATACAGCCTAAAAATGACTCAGTAGAGCTGAAGGAGACTTTTGGTTGTCTGGAAAATAGGGTGACTTCAAGTGTCCATCTCAATTCCAAAAAAAATATGGTATATTCTATCAGTTTCATGATGTTATCTACTCAGATTCTGGGAGAATTAGGGTAATGTTCCCAAAATGTGTCTCTTATTTCAACAGGAAATACAGCTAACAATCACCGAAGCCCTGTGGGACCAAGTGAGTACAAAGAGGCCATTTTTGACAGCATGGTGAGAAGTGGGAGAAGGGAGAGAGGACTTAAGAATAAAGCAAACTTCTTCCTTTCCCCTTGAGTAATTGTTGACTGATAGTGAAGGATTCTCATGCTCTCTCCTGTCTTGTTCTATTACTCATCCAGTCCCAAATCCTCAGAAACTCATCTTTGTGCACCTCAGCACCTTCTAGATATTCACCTGTCCATTAGATCATGCCTCTTAAATACATTTTCTCTGCCAGCCTTTTAATAAGAACTACAAAATGAATAAATCTCATCCACTAGCAAGAAATCCATACCCACTTGAGAAATCCATATACTTTAAACCTTGGATGACAAGAAGGCAAAGTTACCATTTTGTTATGAAAATTAAAGATCTTAATTCTATTTCTGATCCAAAAGAAAGTTATTTTACCTTTGGAGCTACTCAAATTGTCTAACAAATAATTGACTGTGGCCCTTGATTCCTATATCATAAAACATAATTTTCTGAAACATCTGGCCCCTCCAGAATGAATTCGCTTCAAAATAAACCTCTCAAAAAATAAACGACTCAACCTGAAGAGTAGAGGTGTTTAGTTTTATGCATTTGAATGCAAAATTAACTCCATTAAAAATGATTAATTTTCATATAATTGCTAGTGAGTTTCACAGAGTAACATCCCAAGTGGTCCCATTGCTTCTAAAGGTCTTGCCTGGAACGTGATTGGGATTTTGTCATTAGCACAGAGGAGGATTGTTTTCTCCCTCCCAGTGGTTATGGCTGACAGGTCTATATCAAGACATTAAAAGACATCAAAATTGGACTGTCATTCAGATATAATTTCAATGTAATTTCAATATTTGGGACACCATTCTGCTTTGAATTATTTATAATAGGAAATTGTTTATTACTAAGGCATTTCTGTTGTGAATTTTTTTAGAGTATTTTAATAAAGATTCTGGAGGAGCACAAATACCAGATTCATTCCATGGGATCAGAGGTTGCTAACAAAAAAATTTTAATGCTTCAAAATGTCCTACACATTCCCAAATTTATTGACAATAGTTTAAATGAGAATAATGGCTAACAATAGAAAACTATGCCTGGAGTTTTCTGTCCTTCAAATTTATTAGATTTGAGAGACTCAGACCTGCTTTTTGTTGAACACTTCTAAAGTGTTAAGAAGTTAAAGAATATGAGTCTGTACTTTGGATGTGAAGAATAATTGCCATTTTTGCAGTTAGAAAAAATATCTGAATCTCCTTTCAATGAAATGAGATTAAATCATTTAAAGAGATCTAGTCAAAAAAAGTCTTTTGTTAAATCAAATGTTTGATAATAAATTAAATTGTTGAATCCAATTAAGACTGTGTTTTGGAATCTGACAACTATGAGTTAAAAATAAAAAATAGGTCCATTAGGTCACCAATGTAAATTTGTTGTCTTCAGTCTTCTAACTAAAGCAATGCCATGAGCAGTAAGTCTCAAAATCTACATTATTCAAGATTTTTATTTATTTATTTATTTATTTGACAGAGAGAGAGAGAGACAGCGAGAGAGGGAACACAAGCAGGGGGAGTGGGAGAGGGAGAAGCAGGCTTCCCGCCGAGCAGGGAGCCCGATGCGGGGCTCGATCCCAGGACTCCGGGACCATGACCTGAGCCGAAGGCAGATGCCTTAACGACTGAGCCACCCAGGCGCCCCTCAAAATCTACATTATTCAGCCCTGATTTTGAAATTGCTTTACAATAGACTTAAAGTTAATGAATTTGAGAGGAGCCTCTTTTAATTCTATAAAAACTAATGTCTTTTTAGGGGCGCCTGGGTGGCTCAGTTGGTTATGTGACTGCCTTCGGCTCAGGTCATGATCCTGGAGTCCCGGGATCGAGTCCCACATCCGGCTCCCTGCTCAGCAGGGAGTCTGCTTCTCCCTCTGACCCTCCCCCCCTCATGTGCTCTCTCTCTCTCATTCTCGCTCTCTCAAATAAATAAATAAAATCTTAAAAAAAATAAAAACTAATGTCTTTTCCATTTTCACAAAATGTCCTTGGTTTCCCAGCTATACAAAAATAATAAGGTGGCCAATTTTCAAAGATGAAAATGCCATATTTCACTTTATATTTGAATGGTATATCAGTGCAGAAGCTAACTCTGCCCATTAGATAGCCAGAGCAAGCTGTTGTGAATGTTTGTAGAACACAGACATTATTTGGAGTTTCTGATGACTTCCCAAAAATATCAATTACTTCAGCTTCCCAAGCTTGACATTTTAGTTGCATGTACACTTAAACTCTTAGACAGAGATGGAAATAAGAGGACAATTGATTACTTTGAACCTATAATATAAGTTTCCCTATGGAGCCAAGCAAGAAAAGACTATCAAATTAATGAGTCTGGATTTTTTATTAAAAATGAGTAAAAGTCTCCACAGCCTCTCCTGCAAGCTCCCATTGAACAATACTGTATGAAATGAGTAATGTGATCAACTTTTTATTCTCCATGATTTTCAATGACTCTTCCTATAAGTTTTACAGAAGAAAGTAATCTTAATTAAAATGGGTAGGATAACTATTTAATGTTCTTACAATTATTGTATTAGCTAAAGAGTGAGTTGCTTATGTAAGCATCAGAAAACCATCCTGTTGGGAACCAGTATATGACTGAATACCTATGACATAGAAAAGTATGAATGTGATACAACAAAGAGTAAACAAAGGCAGTAAATTGATAACTGGCAAAGCCCACCCCACTGACTATTCAGCTTCCATATGCATCCATACACACATGTTTAAACTCCTGAGTATCAACAAAAACAAATCTGTATTTCCACCAAAAAACATACAACTATCTATCTCAAAGTCTTCATCCTTTCCCCAAAATGAGGCAACTCATATTTCCAACAATCATTATATCCATCCATAGCTTGGTGCAAATGAAGGTACATATTTAGTTTTATAAGAACTGCCAGAGCTTTTTCCAAAGTGATCATACAATTCTATACTCCTTCCAACATTGTGTGAGTTCTAGCTGTTCACCAATATTTGGTGGTGTCCTCCTGTGTATTATAATCTAAATACAAATATGTGTTGATTTTAACAGCTATGCTTAGCTTTAGAACAAGGACCAATTAAATAAATGTAGTAGTGGGTTTCATTTATTTTTTTATTATGCTATGTTAATCACCATACATAACATCATTAGTTTTTGATGTAGAGTGTGGGTTTCATTTACATTCCTTTCACAACTCAGTCTTCTTTAAATAACTTCCTGCATTTCACCCATTTACCATATGGAGAAATGGTGGCCCAGAAATATATAGAGAGTAGAAGTCAGTGGGATTTATTGCTAAAGCTAGGAAGCCATAGTCCTCTTGGCATTCACACCCTATAGCCTAATAGCTGGAAGATTCTATATATAAAATTCCTTTGTAAGAAAGCCCATAACATTAATTTTTTATAATTTTTGTGTCTTCTTTCAGGTGTTAATGGCTTTTAGGGATATACAAAAGGAGGTGAGATTAAATTTCAATTCTCTAAATTCCCTGGCCATATCACTTTCCCTTGCTTCCATTTTTACTATACCCTACTGTGATATTGACCCTAATCAAGGTTTTAGTTTCTTTCCTTTATCTAGTGATTTCTCCCTTTAAAGAGTAGCACTGACTTGTCAGTTCAGGAAGCTAAGGGAAGAAGAGGCTTAACAACCCCCTTGTGGAAATATGATAACAGAGAAAATTGTATCTACCAGAACTTCTCTCAGCAAGAACACTCTGTGTAGTTATACAAAACACTGATAAGTGACTGAGTTAGAAGGAGTCCCCAACTGACATGGTAAATTTTCTTATTGGGCAAGTATGTCTACTAACCGTAGGGAAATTAGAAGCCAGAGTAAATGTCTTCTCCAAATAAAAACATTCCTCCTCCTCTGCTCTTCCTCCACAGATTTCAGTCTTTTTTCTATATATTGATCAATATTGAAAAAATATAGTCAAACATGCACTATATTATTGGCCTGCCCCAGACACTGGGTTATTATATTAGCTTGCTCAAGGTGTTGATATATCTGGGTCCTACCAAGCCTGCTCTCTCACCTTTTTTTTTTTCCTGTCTGGTACAGTGGAGAACAACAGGCACTATCTACACAATTTATTATCACTATTTATATAAGTAAACACATAACTTAGAACAAGTACTAATATTATAAAACCAAGGTAAATGGGAAACTTTTAGACAGATGTTTTAACATTTGTTTATCTGACTAAAGATACAGTTTCATTAAAATTATCATCTAAGTATAATATGAGCCTCCCATGATCTTAGAAATAGTTCTCTCTTCCTAGTTGGCAAGACGTGATGTATAAATTAATTGAAAAGGCACTGAAAATAAACTTCCTCTAATTCACTATCTGAACCACTCTTGGCCTTAGAACTGAAACCATTCTATAGTCCCAAGAAGCTATGTCTTTGTATCCTGCTGCTATGTCTGGGACTTACTCTAGGGAAAATTATAGCAGTCTTTACCTCCATCTGGCTGCAAGTAAAAGGGGGTACTGGGTAGATCAGAAATTTGATATTTTTACCCAACTTTTGCCTTAGGGTCGGAGGGCCTCCACCCTACTTAGAACTTTAGTACCCTGAGGCCTGCATCTCCTCCAGATAGCACTTCAGCTAGTAAGGGGAGGAAGTCTGTCTATAAGTGGGACTTGTGTGTGTTGATTTCCATCCTCTCAGGGCCTATATATGAAGTTAAAAGTCCCATCTGATGTGCTCTATGCTGAAACTCTCTTCTTGTGCTTTCTCATGGGGTCCACCAGAGAAATCCCTACTCCCAAAGATCCTCCAGGCTGGTACAGACAAAACAGATACCCTAGTCACAGACTTATTAAGAACAATTTTTGTACTTAAATACTGAGAGAATAATGTCAAGCAAAAGATATCAGGGAGAGATAGAATTAGAATGTACTATCTTTTTGATTGGACAAAGATTAGGACCCATGCTTAGGGCACTGTTATGTAGAGAGATGATCTACCAGACCACTGTTTGCTCAGGGGTACCAAAGTATATATCATCAGCAGCTGTTTACTCTAGGATGGGTAAGAAGGATTTTTTTGAAGGTCTTTCATAGATATTTTTTTCAGTATTATTTTATTTTCTTTTATTATGTTATGTTAATCACCATACATTACATCATTAGTTTTTGATGTAGTGTTCCATGATTCATTGTTTGCATATTACACCCAGTGCTCCATGCAGTACATGCCCTCTTTAATACCCATCACCAGGCTAACCCATCCCCCACCCCCTCCCCTCTAGAACCCTCAGTTTGTTTCTCAGAGTCCATAGTCTCTCATGGTTCATCTCCCCCTCCGATTTCCCCCCCTTCATTTCTCCCTTCCTACTACCTTCTTTTTTTTTAACATATAATGTATTATTTGTTTCAGAGGTACAGGTGTGTGATTCAACAGTCTTACAAAATTCACAGCACTCACCATAGCACATACCCTCCCC